TTTAGTAAATCGAGATAATTAAGCCAAGTATAAAAATGGTTAAGCGACCGTGCTAGAACCACGAAATTCGGGAATGCCTAACACCTTCTCTCGGGTTAACAGAAAATACCTTATCCGGATTTCTGGTTCGCAGAATGACAAACAGAGTCATATTCTCCTCGATTCGGGATTAAAACCGGTGACTTGGGATGCCATAAAATTCCCAGGTGGCGACTCTGAAACAAATAAACAAATCCCGTTTCGACTGTCCTTTAATTGGAGAAAAATCCCTGCACCCTCGCCGGGGCGGAAAAAGGAGGTGTGACAGATGTTATCGAACTTAGCTCATTCAAAGCCTGGTAAAGGCTTGGACAACCTAATCATTGGTAACCACAAGTAGGTCCATGCGTTCCATCTGAAATCGAGATACAAATTCCCTTAGCATCTCATTGTTCTTTTGTCCCACTTTGAAGAGGTCCGACTTCCTGGTAGCAACTTTTATTGCTCCGGCATGTGCCTTGATGAACGAATCGACGAGCATGGCGAAAGAATCGATGGAATTGGACGGCGGGTTGTGGTACCATATCATTTCCCTCTTCGATAAGGTTTCTCCAAATATTTTCAGCAAAACAGATTCAATCTCATCATTTTCTAAGTCATTTCCCTTTATTTCGCATGTGTATGAAGTGATGTGTTCATTAGGATCGGTGGTCCCGTTGTACTTGGGGTTTTCCGGCATATGGAACTTCTTAGGAACAGGCTTCGGAGCCGCACTTTGAGGAAAGGCTTCTGCATGAACTTCTTCGAATACAAACCCTTTAATATCGGGTCATATCTTGAGTTGTATGTTTTTACCTTTTTGTCATTAGCCTCGATTTTCTTTTCACCTAATTATATCCGTTTAGTGAGCTCCTCAAGCATTTTCATGATGGCGGGATCAATTCCCAATCTATTATGGTTCAATTTTTCCTGCACGGGATTGACCCTATGAGCAACTTCCTGTGACGTATCAAGTTCGATCCTGCTTAGGGCTCGATTCTGATTTTGGAGTTGTGCTATCGCAACCTGCTGAATTTGTAGCATGTCAAATATCATTCGAAGGCTAATTCCGCCATCTTCACCATTTTGTATGTTCCGATCGGCTGCCCGAGCGTCTATACGGATGCTATTTTTAGGATCGGCGCCTAAATCTCCACGAATGGACACATGAGAATTGACATCAACCGGATCCATGGCATGTGGTGCGTCGGAATTGATTGGAGGTGCTCCGTTTCCCAGGACGACTATGTGCTCATTTTCGCCATGAAGACCAAGTCCGGTGTCAGTGTGAGTGGACACTGCTTGAGAGTTTGACATGTTGATTCCTGAAATAAAAAATACTCACAAGAACAAGCGTAAAAGCAGTGAGTGTTATGAAGGCTAAGATATTAAGCAATCACTATTATCCTTAGCCCCACAATGGGCGCCAAACTGTTTACCCTAAAATCGAGTAATAGTTAAACTTGTAATGTGGTTTTAAGGATACGTGATTTCACTTAATACCAATTGATTAATTTAGGGATAAGCGATGAAATTGACAAGAATATAAAATAAACTGATGTTTGGACAGTATTCTCGAGCTGGGGAACTCTTGAGGGTAATAAGTAAGAACAGTTAAAGAACTATAGTTGAAGAATAATAGTAAAAGAGCAGTAAACTGATGAGCAGAAGAAAGAAATACTATATTGCCTTGATCTGTATGAATGTATATCCTTTACAATTGATGGGGACCCCTCTTTATATACTAGAGGAATCCTAATTATGGTACAATACTAATTACGGAAGTAAATCCATGATTGATACAAATAATCGCCTTTGATTTGGTATGTTCCGAGATTTTCACCATGATCTTTGATCGGTTACAGATATCTCGCCTTTCCGTTATTGCACTTCACTCGAAGTCGGTCATACTCAATCTCGATTAATGCTGGCCTCGGTCTCGACTGACACTTCGATTCATGGACTCGACACCTCGTCTTCATGCTGTAGCCCGATCCATCACGAGACTAACCTTCGATGTGCTCCCCTGGTCTCGACTAAATAGAAAAATCGGGCAAGCCCGATTTTAACCGTATACAATGATCCTGCAAATATAGTGCTCTGTTCGAGGCTTCGAGCTCATAGTAATGCATATTAGGACCCTTCATTGTTGAACGATTAATGCCATATTAGAGGTGATACATTTATTTAAACACACACACACATTATATATATAGCCAATTTGGGAAAAAAATCAGAAATAGCAAAATTTACAACTGCTAATTGATAAATAGCCACATTTTCAAAAGTAATAGAAACTTAGCCATTTTTTCATGTAAAGATAAAATATGTACAAAAACGCCCTTAAAATCCGAAAAAAATCCAACATAATATAATGAAGTTCGAATTTTTTATATATGGGATTCCAACATAATGTACTGGAATTTCATAATGTGCTGGAGTTTTAACATAATATGCTGGAAATTTATACGCAGGAGCACCAATATCTAGCATATTATGCTGGAACTTTCCGTGTGTCGTAGTTCCAACATAATATGCTGGAAGTTTATAAGCAGGAACTCTATAATTCAACATGTTATGCTGGAACTTTTTTTGCTTCAATAAATAGTGGCTATTTTTCAATAACTTTGTAAACGCTGGTTATTTTTCAATTATCGATCAGAAAACTAGCTAGCTCATGCTATTTTCACAAAATATATGATAAAACTATGTAGTTGAATTGATAGAGTTTAATAATTTCATTGTTATGTATAATGAGGGGTGACAAATGGGTTGGTCTGGTTGGATATAGACGAGGTGAAAACGGATAATGCAAAAACGGATAAAATATTCGATCCGGTCTATATTTCATATAGATAGACAATGTATTAACTGGCGGATAATATGAAAATCTATATTATCCACGACTTCTTGAATATGATCATTTTTGGGAAGATTCCTAATCTCCCAAATTTGAAAAACTCTTAATTTGAGTCTTTGCAAATATCAAAGTTAAACTCATTGATTATAATTTTTTATGTGTATAATATGAATTTTATTCAAATTTGACCTATTTTTAAAAAGTATATTATCCAAATCATTTTTAATGAATAATATGAATGTTAATTATTTTTAATTTATTTTGCCACCGCTATATATAACTACTGTCTTATTATTCAATTTCAAAATTATTTAACCCCAATATTGTCGCATGTATGAGAGCACAGGTTTCAAAATTCTTATATCAACACAAGTATTATGTCATATTTAGGTTACAAGTCTCGAAAACTTTTTTATTTCTTAAGTTTTGTATTATGCCAAATTCAGTCACATAAATTAGAATGGAAGGATTACTGGTTTTATTTAAGTTTTTCAAACTGCTTATCTCCTCAATTACGTCATTTCTGAATCTAACTAAATTCCGTTAAATACAAACTACAGGAAAATGAGAAATTATGGCAGTCTTTCCTGTCTCAACAAAATTACAATCTCCAGAACCTCAAAATTGAAAATCCAAATAAAAGGAAGGATTTATTACTAAGTCATATCATGAAAGTGTGGGAGAGAGTGGTAGAAATGAGAATGCAAAGAGCGGTGTCTATTTCAGACAACCAGTTCGGGTTCATGCCGGGGCGATCTACCACAGAAACTATCCACCTTATTAGGAGGATGGTGGAACAATACAGGGATAAGAAGAAGGATCTACACATGGTGTTTATCGATCTAGAGAAAGCGTACGACAGGATTCCTAGGGAGGTCTTATGGAGATGCTTAGAGGCTAAAGTGGTCTTGGTTGCCTATATTAGGGTGATTAAGGACATATATGATGGAGCTAAGACTCGGGTTAGGACGGCAGGAGGCGACTCCGAGCATTTTCCGGTTGTTACGGGGTTGCACCAAGGGTCTGCGTCCAGCCCTTTCCTATTTGTCTTGGTGATGGATGCCATAACACATCATATTCAAAGGGAGGTGCCATGGTGCATGCTATTTGCTGATGACATAGTCCTAATTGACGAGACACGATGCGGCGTCAGCGAGAGGCTAGAGGTTTGGATACATTCCCTTGAGTCAAAAGGTTTCAGGTTGAGCAGGACGAAAATGGAATACCTCGAGTGCAAATTTGGGGTCGAGCCGACGGAAGCGGGAGTGGAAGTGAGGCTTGATTCTCAAGTCATCCCTAAGAGGGGTAGTTTCAAGTACCTTGGGTCAGTTATTTAGGGGACTGAGGAGATCGACGATGATATCACACACCGTATAGGGGTGGGGTAGATGAAGTGGAGGTTAGCGACGGGAGTCCTATGTGACAAGAAAGTGCCACCATTACTAAAAGGTAAATTTTATAGAGCAGTGGTTAGGCCTGCCATGTTGTATGGGACCGAATGTTGACCGGTTAAGAACTCACACATCCAGAAGATGAAAGTTGCAGAGACGAGGATGTTGAGGTGGATGTGCGGGCATACAAGGAGGGATAAGATTAGGAATGAAGATATTCGAGAGAAGGTGGGTGTGACCCCCATGGAGGACAGAGGAGGAACACTGATGCACCGGTGAGGAGGTGTGAGCAACTGGCTGTGGTGGGTACGAGGAGAGGTAGAGGGAGACCTAAGAAGTATTGGGGAGAGGTGATCAGGCAGGACATGGCGCGACTTAGGGTTACTGAGGACATGGTCCTTAACAGAGAATTGTGGAGGTCGAGTATTAAGGTTGTAGGTTAGGGGTAAATTGTGAATATTTCTACAGCTTACTAGAGTGAGACTAGCCAGTTAGGAGTTAGTCTTAGGATGCTACTGATCAGCTACTGATGATGGGCTTTATCTGTTGGTTATTAGTATACTTTACATCTTTCTCGTATTTCCTATATTTCTTATATTGCTGTTATTTTGTTATTTTATGGTATTTTATGTTAATGTTATGGATTTTATGTTATTTTAAGTTATTTTATTATGAATCTATTGATAGTACTAATATAGCGTTTCTTGTTCTTTTCTTGAGCCGAGGGTCTTCTGGAAACAGCCTATCTGCCCCTCGGGGTAGAGGTAAGGTCTGCGTACATATTACCCTCCCCAGACCCTACTTGTGGGATTATACTGGGTTGTTGTTGTTGTTGATTTTGAGAAAAGAAAAAAAACAAATATATATATTTAGAAAAAAGGAAGAGAAGACTCTGTTTTGAGCTCAGTGGCTACTCTCTCCATTATTATGTTGTAATTCTTCATCTCTTTGGTCCCTAACTTCCATTGCAATTACTTGCTCTTTCAGCTTCTCACCATCTAATTCTTCACTCTCCTTTTCCAATTTCTTCTCACATTTATTCCCAAAAGAAGAACCTTTGCTTGACATATATATAGGCATCGCCAAAAAAGTTGGGTTCAAATCACCCGCCATTATTACTACTATTTTCTCTTCAAAAACCGGCATGACCTTTAAGTTATCGTCCTCGTCGGCGCCGGCTTCAGGATCATCACTGGAGCGTTTCCTGTAAGAGCAAGCTAAGATTACAAGAGCAAAAGCTATTAACCCTAGCATGGCTGCTACGCCGGCAAAGAGATACGGCGCGGGAGAATGCCACGGCGATCTCTGAAAACCCGCCGGCGGTGAAAATGTAGTTTTTACGGTTAGTTCTGTTGTTGATGGAGTAGCAATAAAGGCACTCACAGTTCGCATTTTCTTTATGTTCTTTTTTTTTTAGAACTGATTTGCTTTTTCTGTTTTTGCTTAATTGGCTTGAGAAGGCATATGTATATTTATAAGAAGGTTTGCAAGAATAGAATAAATATTAATGGGGGATCCAACAATTCTTTAAAGAGAAAATATAAGGTTCTAGTACTCGATCGTCATATAGTATATATTTTTAGGAAAAGAGAATAAGCAATCTTTTACTGTAGAATATGATTACTTCATTTTCTATGAATGGAAGAACTGTTTACGAAGAAAAAGAGCATTGCCGAGAAAAATATATTAGCTGTTCTTCCGGATTTTCTTAAATTGGTTTTTCTATCTCAGGAACGAAATAACAGCATATTTATTATAATTAGGTTTTCCTTTGTAGAATAAAATTATAAATCTTTTATATTTGGCTAGTCTTTTTTCTTGTAGGAAAAATATTTGGACTTTTATAAATAGAGGATCTTTCCTTCTCATTCAGTAGCATCCACAATATAACCATATGGGATTTGAGAGTCGTGTTTAGGAGGAGAACTTTACGGGACAAGTGTTAGTGTGTCACTTGTGTTTGCCTCTTCGTGAGGTTGTTCTCTCGATATTTTGTACTCTCTTTTATATATTGGATTGCTCATCTCCGCCGTGGACGTAGGTCAGTCGACCGAACCACGTTAAATGTTTGTATCTCTTTTGGTATATTTCTCTTTTAGTATCTGATTTATCGTTGTTCAAATGTTGTTTTACTAGCTTCCGCATGATGCCTGATTTTTTGGGTCCTAACAAAATATATTAGAGCTATAACATAAGGTAGGAACAAAGACATCTTGTGCGTCGCGGAGGCAGGAATTTCGTTAAGGGGGTTCAAAAAAGGAAAAGGTTAAATAAAAATTATAGCTAGTGGGAATTAAACCAATGATATTACAAAAGTTTTGAACCCCCTTGACAAGACGATTCAAAACATAATATATAGAGATTATACATACAATATAATTTTTTGGCGTGAAGGAAGACTAATAATGACAAGGACTAACAAGACTTTTAGGCGAATTTAATTTGACATAAATAAAAATAAAATATGTCAATATAGTATTCGTGGTTTTAAGTTCGATGCGACCGAATCCAAAGGATAAATATTTAGCGAACAATACTGTGACATCTCCACATTATGAAGCAGGGGTTGTGGGTCATCTTAGCATGCTATTCTTTCGCTCAAATGTCAATATGTCACTGATTTGGCCATATAAAGGTAAGCATGGGAAAGCCTGGAGGGAACTCTGATCCTATCTGTTTCCATCTCTACACTCAACTTTAATTCTATTCCTATTTCCCACAAGGAATATGTCTCTAGTCTCTACTCTCTATCATGATAATGAAAAATATGAAAATGGATCTTAGATTGGGCCCCACTGTGGGCCTTAAATTGGGCTCAGGTGCAACAGTTAAGTCCACATCTAAGCTACAGTGAAAAACGCACTCTTATTTTCTCTTTTTCAATCATTAAGCAAACAAGTGAATAAACTATACGATTGGTGGGTAAAGCAACAACAGAAATAAATATCAGATCGTATTTGTTTTCCATTAGGATTTGATTCTATTCTAATTCATACATATCCATAGAGGTTGCAATTTTTAAAATTTATTACTCAAAGCACTATTACTATGAATCTCATGACGAAAAAAGTCACAAACATTTTGAGTCTGGGGGAGAATTAAAAAATCTCCGTGCACGGTATTAAATTAAATTTAAAAATAACAAAGAACTACCTTCAGGCCAATTCTACGTGAAATGAAATATAGATTTATTTGCGTAAGATGCCTTTTAATGCATTGGTGGAAGAATATTAGGATTGTATAAAAAGTAGATTATGGTTCGCCGTTATCTATTTTTAATAAAGTTCTTTAAATACAGTAATACATTTTTTGTTGTACACCGCATTTACCTTTTGCCTCGTTCTTTATTATCGGTTCCGCATGCCAAAAGGACAAAAGAGGGCTATCCCATCATTAAAATTGTTCCAAGTGGAAACAATGGTTCAATCACTAGCACAAAATATAAAACCTAAAGAGGAACAAGATAGTGTATTCGAGTATATAATGACTTTAAAATTATCTTAATGTTAGAACATGGAGTCGTTTGCACCCTCAAATCTCAATATAACTACCTTTGAATATATACGTTTAGCCAAATACATCGTCGGTCCCTTAAAGTTGTCCTCCTTTTTTACTTAAACACTCAATTTTAAGTCTTCTTCATTTGAACACTTTAACCAGGCCTTTACTGTGTCATTTAGACACAAAAAGCTGACCTGGCAAGGCAACTGTTTCTCACATTTTTCAAGCGCGTGAAATGGTGCCAAAAAACAAACTCCTCGCCCTTTTTTCTCTTTATTTTTCTTTTCTTTTCTTTTTATTTTCTTTTCGTTTCTTCCCCTCTTACCTCACCCTTCTTCATCAGAAAAGCTGGAGTAACCAATGAATTTTTCCGGTAACTGATTTCTTAATTTTTTTTAAAATCACTTTTTGGTCTTTCTTACTCACAAATCACTCTCAAAACAATGCAATGCAAAACAAGTCCAAATCTGTAAAGGAAAGAAATGAAAAAAAATACCAAACCCAAGTATTCCACCGTCACCACCTGTTGGCCGAATCTATTGTTGAAAACCCAAAATGTTTTCCTGTTCCAAGTTGGCCGAATCTATGGCTAAAAAAAAAGGTAGCTCAGAAACTAATAGAAAAATGACTTGAAATAGCAAAAATAATTTGTTGGTATTGACCAGAAAAAGTTTAAAGAAAATGAGTTTGGATCTAAAAGGAGAAAAAATGAGATGATGTGACGAAGAGAAAGAATGGTATTGAATCTATGGCTTAAAAATGGCGGAAGAAATGATTGTGGAAGAGGATGAGAAAGATGAATAAAAATGGCTAAAAATTAATTTTTTCGGCGAAGAAGGATTGTTGGAGAAGATGACGACGGGTGGGGTTTAGCCCAGAAAGGAAGAATGAAGAAGAAGGAGAAAGACCAAATTTCTAGAGAAGAAGACATAGCTGGAAAAGAAGTAGCCAAAAATTAATTTTCGGTAGGAGGGGTCGTTGGGAAAGATGACGATGGGGTGGGTTCTGGTCTGTATATTTATTTATTTATTAATTTTTTAAAGTTAAATCCACCTTTCCTCGTTTTATTTGTCACTGTGGTGTATGAATTACATGCACCTATTTTATTTTGCTGCCTGTGAATTTTGTATCTAAATAATACAGTAAAAGCCTGGTTAAATTGTTCAAATGGAACAGAATTAAGATTGAGTGTTTAAGTGAAAAGTGAAGACAACTTTAAGGGGCTAGCGATGTATTTGGCCTATACGTTTTTATATCATGTTGTTAACTTTTTTTCAGAATTTGACGAATGACGTATTTAATTTTTTTACAAAATCATAAAAAAAAAAATTCACTTTGATGTACAAAAATAGAAATATAACACATTTCGAGGCATTTACTCACAAGGCATTCTCTTCCGTCTCTTTCCCAGTTAACCTAAAAATTCTTCACCTATGAAGTGAACTTCGCTTCACTAGATCATGTGGTACTCGAAACTCACTGGCTCTACTCACATGAAATAAGTGAAACTAATGATATTTCACTTCAGGCTTCATTCAGTTGGACCCATTGCCACCTAAACCATACTCCTTTAGCATTGGCATGGGCAAATGATTAAGGATATTGTACAAGTAGATGAAGATGGCCGTACATTGAGTGAAAGGACAGTTACTGTTTTAGATTTGGAAACTCACAACCATATCCAAATTTGTTACTCTACTTTTGTTGAATCTAATTTCATCATCTACCACCAGCTAGTGTTTATTCACTTTCTAAAAGTGTTGTATTATAATATTTAAAAGGAAAAAAATTCTTTTTGGACACTAAATAAAGCTATTAAAATACCAAGTCAATATTATTTAGCAGTATTTTTTTGTGGGGTAGGAGCCAGTTGGATATGAGTCACCTAATTTCAACGAACAAGCAAGAATCTTTGCGCAGTCTTTATTCATTGTGTCAATGGACTGCCCCTTTCATTTGCCTTTATTCATTGTGCATACAGATTTTTATTTGTTGTGTATTAGTTGTATAAATCATCACAGTTAACAACCTACTTGTACACGACTCAATTTTAAACTAGTTGAAGTTAGTTGAACTATCTTAATATCCGTTTCGCTCTGTTTGGGCTCATATCATTTTGCTACTCAATAATTTGTAAAAATAGCACAGGCTAGCCATTTTCGGACTGATCATTCAAAAATAGCCAACGTTTGCTAAGTTATTGAAAAATAGTCATTATTTTGCTGCAACAGGGACCGGTCCAGCATAATATACTGGAGATCGGTGCACCTGTGTATGAACTTTCAGCATATTATGCTGGAACTCCAACCCGCAGAAAGTTCCAACATAATATACTGAAGATTGGAGCACATATGTATGAACTTCCAGCATATTATGTTGGACCGGTATATTATACTGGAACTCCAGTATATTATGCCGGAGTTCTAGTATACTTATCCTGGAACTCCATTATATTATGCTGGAGTTCCAGTATACTTATGCTGGAACTCCAGTATATTATGCTGGAGTATTTTCCAGATTTTGAATAGTATTTTCGTTCAGATTTATCTTTATATGAAAAGTGACTAAATTTTGATTACTTTTGAAACTGTGACTATTTTTGAATGACCACTTATAAATCTGGCTATTTTTGAATTTCTCCCTAATAATTTTATCTAGTTGGATAACTTAGTGATTAGCTAAAATTAATACTAATTCTTTAAATTTCATGTCATCAGCCTCCACCTAAACTTGTAAGATTCCTGCCAAACACCAGATGTAATGCAAGTGTGCCCTATAACAATTGACCTTTGATATATATAAAAATTGCACGGGGCGCCTTATTTGGTTGTCCTCATTGAACCTATACCTATTTTTTTTTAAAAAGTTTTAATTTGTATCCACTTTTCAAATAATTTCAGTCCTCTTTCTCCTCCTCCTTTGTCTTCTTCTTCTTCTTCTTCTTCTTCTTCTTCTTCTTCTTCTTCTTCTTCTTCTTCTTCTTCTTCTTCTTCTTCTTCTTCTGCTGCTGCTGCTGCTGTTGCTGCTGCTAGGGATGATTGCCATAAGTATGTTTATCAGATTATTTAGAAACAAATTATAAATAATTACGTAAGTTAGTAGACAATAATTTGTGAATATTTTTACGTAATTCTGTTCTTTTCACGTTTATTGTTTCCAAAATTTATGATTTAGATACCGTTGGCAATCTGATTGTTTTATAGTAGTAATACACTATGAAAGAATAAGGTGATTATTTATCTAGTATGTTAGAAAGCTTTTTCAAAAACTTCAGCTTATATAGTTATGAAGTTTTTACAAATAAACTAAATAACTTCAGCAT